TCTAATAGAGTAACTATATAATATAGTTGAAGAGTTTCACATTCTAAAATATGTCAAAAAAAAATTAATTTTTTTTGCATTTTTTACGATTAATTTAACATTTACACTTTGTATAACATTCACTAAATATAATGTAAAGGATAGTCCAAGACCCACTTTCAAAACAGATCATAAATTAGAGAAAAGAAATGTTACAACATGGACTTATGCTATTTTATGTATTACATAAATAAGATGAGGTAATTTTAGTATAGTTATGTACATTAATTGAAGATTTATAAAGGAATAGATGGTTACAATATGATCCAAGTTAATTATATATACAAATATGAATATAGATTGGGAATGTTAAAATTTTAGAAAGTATCAGTAATTTTCATATCAAAGTAAGATATGCTAAGTTTAGTTATAACAAGTCTTACGTGCAATTGTGAGTAAATATGAATGTAAAGGTTAAAAATGTTACTAAAGGAGTTTTTAAAATTATTTTTTCCTCTAATCATGAGTAATTTTAAAGAAATTGTGTTGAAAAAGTGAGTTTTAAATTTTTTACATACAAAAATTTGATATTTTAAAATTTTTAAGGAACTAAAGAGCATTTTATTTCATTGTAAAACAATTCCATTAAATTTGATTTCTTTTCCAATTCCTTATTAAATTTATGTGTAAGTTCCTTTTTCTCCTAAAATTATTCATTAAAACAATATGGTCAATCACAAGATAATTGTTTGAATTCCATTAATTGGTATATTTTAATTTATTATCATTCCCAAGAGCGAGTCTATAATATAATTTTCACAACTAAAAACAATCTGTGAAAGAGTAGCTAGTTAATAGAAGTACCTACAGTGAGGCTATTTGATTCCGATAAATGACATAATATTTTTTTGAATTTAAAATGTTAATACTCAAATTATTAAGAAAACTTTTACTTTTCCATAAAATGTCCATTCTTTTGCTCTTTTCATGCAGAAATTTGACCGAAAAACATATTTTAGTTTAGAAATACAAAATAATTATATTGACCCAAATTAAGATTAAATATTATTTGTTATTCATAAGATTACTTAATAGAAAATGGACAATGTCAAATATTGCATTATATAATAGTTAAAATAAAATTCTATATTAAAGTTTATAATTACTCTCATTTCATATATCATTATAATTTTTATATAAAACTCATAATGAACTTTTCAAAATATTTACACCTCTTTAACATTTAAGATAAAAATATTTACAAGAATAAAAAATATTATTAAGAATTTTAAGATTAAAAAAAAAAAAAAAAGTAAGTACATTGAAATTTGAACTCCTCAAATTCGGTCAAAAATAATTTTAGTGTTCTATTTGAGAGTATACTCGTATAATACAGTAAAGCGCTCCCGAGTAAAGTTATAAAAATTTAAAACCATCCTACAGAATTAAAATACGTAACTAATCTAAGTAATGCATGGATAATCCTCACCAGTATTCTTTTTCAGATTTAGGTAGTTAAAAGTGTTATCAAAGTGTTATCCATTTATAGTGTCATACACTTAAAGTGTTATACGTTTAGAGTGTTATACGTGTGCAATGATCTAATCTGAGTAATATATGGGTAAGCAATCCTCGTCACTATTGCTCACCACCGAATTATATCAAAGTGTTATACGTTTACATTGTTATAAGGTTTGAGTGTTATACGTGTAGTGTGATATATTGTTATACGTGTAAAATGATCAAATTTGAGTAATATATGAGTAAGTTATCCTCACCACTATTCTTTTACCGAGTGTTATCAAAGTGTTATACGTTTCCAGTGTTATAAGGTTGAAGTGTTATACCCTTATAGAAGTGATATACGTTTATAGTATTATTTGATTTTAACGTTTTAGGTCTAGAGTGTTATACGTTTATAGTGTTATACGTTTAAAGTGTTATACGTTTACAATGTTATACATTTTTGAATAGAACGCAAATAATATGTGTTACTATTATATAACCTTTTTTTTGGGAAATTATAATTATTATTAAAGTGTTATACATTTCAAAATATAATACATCTTTAAATGGAACGCAAGCAAAATTTCGTTTACTGCCTAGTATAGTATTTTCTAGGAAAAGTTAATTCATATTCTTGCATTCATTTTCACTTATATATGTATATATATATTTTTTTTTGTTTTCCTTATATTTATATAACATTTTTACTCATTTTTTTTTTCATTTATTTTGTTATCAAAGTACGAGTAGGTCAAGAGTAATGTTTTTATTATTTAGATGATGCATTTTATATTCTGCAGTAAACTACTTATACAATTTTATACGTATATTGTAATACACTATATAGTGTATATATGTGAGCTCTATATTGTATGCTCTATATAAGTTTAATGCTTATATTACAAGTCCTTTTGTTATTTGTATAACATGAAAATTTTACTCATATGGACTCAGCTTATTCAATTTAAAGTACATTTACATTTTGAATTCAAAATTGAAGAATAAGAAAACAAAAAAAAAAAAAAAATAATACAATTATAATTTTCTTACAAGAGAGTATAGTATAACACTATTCTACAATTATTATTGTTTTATTGTATTCCAAAAATTATAATTATACTTGAAATTTTTATGTAAAAATTTATGTTTTCTTAATAAGAAATTTTTTGTTTCTGTTATAATTCATAAAATAAGTTTTTTTTTATTAAAAACTCAACTAATTTGCATGAAAATAAATATAAAAAAATTATTTTTACGAGTATAACAATTTAATATTCTTTTATATAATTATTATTATAGAGGGTTTTTAATAATAATTATGTGCATTATTATATAACAAAAATTTTACACAAAGTGTCATACATAATTGAAATGTTGTCAAATTTTATTCAATGTTATCGGATTGTATAATTATGTTAGTTGTAATAAAACATAATCATAGTTCAGCTGGACGGATTTGAATTTGCCAGTTTATGAAGCAAGATTGGGTATAAGTAAGGAGAACTTGAACCAGAAATTATGATTACCCCTACATTTTTATATTCAAACATTCGTAAAACTAAGTTTGCGATTTCAAAATAAATTAAAACTGAATACTTAATTTCCGTTTTTCTCTTAAATTTGTTGACGGTGTCAACTATTACTCAATATAAGTAGATTATGTCTCAATAGTTACACAATTATAGACCGAAGAAATTAAGTCGGAATAAACGAATGATTTGTGTATAATACAATTTCCTTGAAGAAGATAGCAGTACTGCTTTTTATAAAATAATCTTCCATTTTAAATAATTTTCATTAATTATACAAAATTATTTTATAAAAAAAAAAATTGCATATTTTTAGGATGATGAATAAATAAAACTAGAATTAATTGGACGAATTCAATGGTAAACGAAGTAAGTTAAGACAAAATTTATTATATTTTTGGATCAGAGGAAATTTAATTACTGTTAGCTCTTTAATTTCATAGAAATTTGGTAAGAAAAATGCATTTTTGTTCGAGAAAAACAGAAGCCCAAAACGAAAATTTGTGATAATTTTGAAAATGGGCAGACAGACAATGGTCCATTGATGTAGTTCAAATTAGAATCAGAACTGAGTTATAAGAACTAAGTGATATTAAAATTTGAAATTTATAAATTGGTTTTTAAGTCTTTTCCATTCATTTATTTCATATTTTATTAAAAGAAATCTTTAATTACTCAGTTAATTTCAATTATTGTCTGAGTAAAAGAGTAAAAAAATGGAATTTGGAATTGTTTTCTTGAATTATAAAAATTAATTGAAAGTGGGTTAATCATTAGAGAATTCTTATATTTAGAGCATAAATTATTCTTCTATATACTAATAATCATTATTTTGTGAAATCATTTATGATATTTTAATGTAATTTTTTACGGGTTTTTTTCTTTGTTTTCACATTTTTTTTATTACAGTAGGACATTCACATTTTAACTTTAATTTATGTTTATTACTCTGGTTTATATAGTTACCTATAAGAATATATAGTTAAAATGAAAAATAAAATTTTATATAAAAAAAAAACTTCAATCAATATGTAGATAAAAGCTATGAAAACTTTATCCTTTCGTGTGGGTATCTCATAATTATTAAGTATACGATGAAGATAACTTAAGAATTTTACTCATTTTTACTTTATTTTTCCTTTTTAATTTTTCACAATAATTTGCTAATAATGTTATTTTTTTTTCTTTTTTGTTTCTGTGTTATTTGCCTTCCATTCTAGAAAGTAATTAGGGCAAATTTTTTTACCAATAATAAACAAATACTGTTTATGTAACCTTAAAGTATTTCAACCCAGAATGTACCTGTAAATATATATATACCTTCATTCTCACTAATTAATATATGCAACTACATATTATTATGTATATATTTAGATAATGTTCGTATGCTTGTTGTCACAATTTATGTAGCTATAGTATAAATGCTTTTAACTAAAATGAGGATATCTTTATGGAATGTCCTTTTTTTTTTTACATAATAAAATATTTATCATTATAATTTTGAAAACACAACAACAAACTGAAAACCAAAACAAAAAATAAATAAATAAGACAAAATTTATGTAAATAAAGAGAATAAAAATGGATGATAAATAAAAAAAGAAATGTTTGGCAGGTACAACTCCAAGTAAAGCAATAATAACAAAAAAAAAAATTTTTTTTTATATAAATTTTTTATTATTCTCTTAACGCTTCCTTTATTGCACACAAGGATCATAATGAGAAACCCTATTATTGTCTGAGCTCATTGGCTCCTAATGACAGAATATAAAACTTTCACCCAATGTGTGTTGGTCACACATAGACATTCAGTCAAAAACTATAAAATTTTGTATTTGTTTAGAAAGGAATATTTGACATGATACGGTAAATTATGGAAGTTTTATCCGCTGTTTTAACTAAGATAATCCGATATGATTAATTTTTTATATATGCAAAGATATTTGGAATGGATTTAATGAATTTACAAAAAAAATTTAAACACAGGAAAACAAAGAAGAAGAGAATAAGGAGAAAGAGGAGAAGGAGGAAGAAGAGAAGAAGAAGGTGGACAAGGAGGAAGAGGAGAAGATAGAAGAGGAGAAGGTGGAAGAAGAGAAGGGGGAAAAAGAGAAGGAGAAAAAGAAAGAGGAGAAGGAGGAAGAGGAGAAGGAGGAAGAGGAGAAGGAGGAAGAGGAGAAGGAGGTAGAGCAGAAGGAAGAAGAGTAAAAAGAGAAAGAGGAGAAAAAAGAGGCAGTAGGGATAATAGTTGGAAACTGAAAAGACGTAGAAAACTTGAGAAGGGGAGGAAGATATGGTAAAGGAATACAACAAGTAGAGAAACAATACAGTGATGGAGAAAAAGGAGCAAGAGCAAAATTAAAAGAAGGAAGAGGAATAATAGAAGATCATGGAAACAGGGAAGGAAGAGAGGTAAATAAAGAATAGTAAGAGTAACTGGAGCTGAAGAAAAAAAAGGTTTAAAGATGTGGATGTAAAAGAGGGTGAGAAAAGGTGGGGAGGGAAGAGGGGGAAAAGAAAAACTGAGATAAGATATAGATGATGAGAGGAGCAGAAAAAGATGAATAGAGAAAAAAAAATTAGGAAAAAAATCACAAAAAAGAGGTATGAAAAGTGTGAATGAAATAGGCGAACGAAAGCGAAGAATGAAAGGAAATATGAGAAATATCCAGCATTAAAACCTTTAATAACTAGTACGGACCTTGGCCAAGTAAATTGACATGAATCAGGTAACTGAAACTTTTATTCACATTCATGCTCTCAAAATTTTGGCCTTTAATACAACATCATTTTCATAAGCTGCAACACTGAAAGCTCCAAATACTTATACACAAACTTAAAATATCATTTTAAAAGTTATCCAAAAATTTGGATATATTAAGTAGATGGATAAAAATTTAAACACAAAAAATACATAAAAGGATAGAAAAGAAAAAATAGCAAAAAATACACAAAATATTTATGGAATTTTGAATAATTTATACAAATAAAAAGATCTACTATAGCTATTCCACATAGTTACTTTAATTTTTTCCCTTCAATCTACAGTAATAAAAGCATAAAGAAAGCAAAAATTCTGATTTATGCAAAAAAATGTCGTCAGATAAGTTAAAGTGGAAATAAAACTAAACCAGAATAGGAATAAAGAGGAAAATTAGGATTAAAATAGAAAAGTTCTCTTAAAGGCTTAAACAAAAATTAAAGGCATAATTTTCTTATCCTTTAAATTTAATACTGGGAGCATGCTGGTGTTCAACATTGATGCCATGCTCTATATGAACGTTTCAAATTGTCATCGGTCTCCCGATGCTCGTTTATTAAGATAATTGTCCAACAAAAATATGCTTAATGGCTCTTTTATAAAATCACCACCTCGTTTTCCACTTTTGTTTGGCTGCAATTTAAACCCATTCCTTGATTTATAGTCTACTTATGGTAAAAAAGACAAACACAATTAAAAATATAAAAAAAATTATTATTTTCCAAAGATCATATTTACTTTCTTTACTATATCTACATTTTTATAAAATCGGATATAATGCCCGTGTTGCAATACCACAATTATTATTTTTATTTCGTATAACTTTCATATGTCCTTCAATACCCCAATCTTTACCCCATGAATTTCTAACTAACCAATAATCATGATCATTTTCTTTACCATAACCAATAATTGCCATAGCATGTGCCATTGTATAATTTGTACATAACGGTTCATAATAAATACCATTTTTATATAAACGAAATGATGGTAATGTTGCATCAAAACCAAAACCAACTGGACCAATTGTACCAACAATTGATTTTAATAAATTTTCATTTCCAGATTCAATTTGATAAAAATCATTTATTTTAATACGTGGTTCAGTTTGTATACAAATATCTTCTTTACCTAAATATGGATGATTAATATCAAAACCGATACCATATTCTAAAGCATATTTTAATGTTAAATTTGTTCGACCACCTCTACATCCATTATTACCTAATATTTTACTACAATCCATAACTTCTTGATGTGATAATTGTATTAATTTACCAGTTTTTATAAAATATTGTGCTTCAATTGCTGCAATAGCACCAAATGTATAACAACTACCACATTTTCCTTGATGTAATATTGGATTTTTAAAACCATTCTCAATCCAATTTATTGTTTCCGGAACATTATTAAATCTGGTGTTATTTTGTAAAATCTTAATTTTTGATGATGATTTCAATGAGTCAATTTCATTATCTGTTTGTGGATTAAGATATGTATTATGAAATTCTTCATCTGTTATATCAGAAAATTTATTGATTTCAATTTCGAAATAATTTTCTCCTAACTTTAATTTCGAATTATGTTCTCGTACAAGTTTTAAAGAGTTAGCAAATAAATTTTTACGTAATTCATCCTCTTTAGGATTTTTATAATTTTTATTATATTTTAATTTAAAATTTTTCCATTCACTTTCCAAATCACTTAAACATAAATTAATTGTTATTAATAAATAAAATGAAAAAAATAAACGTGGCGACATCTTTTTTTTTAAAATACCAACAACAACGATGACAATATTAGATTTTGATATGAGAACGCAGAATATTGCGAATTCTACTGAACTTCTAAATCGAATTTGGTTGTATTTTTATACTTTTTTTTTTAAATATTATCTTTCAAAAAAAAAAAAAACAAGAAGAAAAACAAAAAAAAATATGGGTTAACCACTTATTACTGTAGTAGAAAATTATTTTAATAACGGTTATAATAAACGTTCTTATCATTATTATTATTATAGGGAAAAAACGAAGAAGAAGAGATAATCATAAAATTGATGTCAAGGTTTTTTGTTTGTAAAGGTCAGTTGTTGTTGGAGATTTCTCGTATATATGTACATTTTCTTGCCAATATAATAATATTAAATGAAGTGGCTAAGAAATTGGGTAATCAGATCATAAATTATTTTTTGTTTTTTTTTTTTATTAGCAGATATAAAAATGTTAGTATATACTTAATATCTAAATTGAATTTTATTAAATTTATACAAAAGGTAGTATTAGATGCATTAATTTTTGTGTTATATGTATAAATGTAATATTTTATGGAAGGAGCACAAGTTTATAACAATTTTTATTACAATTACACGTGTTTTAATAAAAATTTATTCTGAATTTTAATATTCACGGCATGAAATTTGCATAATAAATTTATTCTAAATTTCTCTCTTTGTTTTTCCCAATTTCTCATTATTAATAAATTAAAAGAAATTCTCAAACTTTTAAAATTAAAGAGACATCTAACGAAATATTTAGGAATTATTAATGTTAAAGTAAGGTGTTGTAGTCCTTGCATTTAGCTCAATCCCAGCAATATCAATTTCAATTTGAATGGATGATAGTTTTTATAAACTTGCAACATTTAACAATTTGTGCTAAAAATTTGTTTGTCGTACATACAAATTTTAATCTCGGAGACTTTTAAAGAGTACATCAAGACATTAGAGGAAGGAATTGAGATTTGGTGATAAGTCAACTAAATTTCTCTTATAAAAGAGCGGAAAAGACGTTGATGTCTAGTAAGTGAAAGACTAAAATGTTTAGTTAGTGATTGGTCTATTTTAAAATTTCAAATTTCACAAACAATTTTCATAAATTGACACCGGTTGCGAACTACTCGTATCGAGTGAACGTATTATCTGCTTTAGCGGTTTATTATTCAAAAACGTGATTGCATATCGGTAAAAATATGCTCTGGCTCAGTTGAATATGAGTGAATGGCGAATGTTTTATAATGTTATGCTACAATTATGGCTGCAGTGATTTGGTTAACTTTCGACTACCTATCAAATCTAAATCTAATATAATATTAATTTTAACTATTTATTCAGAGCTTTGTATTATTTTTCTTAAAATCTTTAAAAAAGTTATCCTTTTCATTTTTAGTTGTGCGACAATATCTTTCGTACACCTAATATGTATGTGTGCAATTTTCTTTAATAGAAAACCAAATTTGATTGATTTATTCAACAAGTAGTAAAAATTAAAAACCTTACAAAAAATTTTAATAATTTTTAATTAATGAAAATGAAGAAAATTATTTTGAAGGTGAAATAAATTTTTTACTTTTCAAATAATGTTGCTGATATTCATCTGTCATAATAATGTCACAAAAAATAATTTAAAATTAATTTATAATAATAATATGACATTCTTAAGAAAGCATTGATTTGAACTATTAAAAATTTGGAAAGAAATGTGTCTGTCTGTTTGTTCACCCGTTATCTTAGATCGTTTATAATCGTTTTATATAAAATCAAAGAAGAAAACTATAATTATACTTAAATTATTAGAGGATTTTCAATCTTAATTCTCCTTCCAAAAATATACAATTGGATAAAGAATTTTGAGAAAGTAATGTAGGTATATGAGATATTGTTTTAGTAGCAATAAAGAAATATTGTTGGCATCACAAGGGACCTCGGACCCTGTCCACCGTTATTCAGGCTGAAAAATATGCCATAGGGTTGTGTGCTCTGGAATATATCTGACGGAACATTAGAAGGAGCAGGATATTTATTATGTCAGACTGTAGGGCCGTTCTTTTGACCCTTTCGTCTGATGTAGCTGAATCCAAGCTGCAGAAAGAATGTGACACCAATGGTGTCTTGGCTAGGCACAGCCAGCTAACCTTGATGTATATGTCGGACACTGCGGTATGGACAGGAATGAGAGAGCTAATGAGGGCTGAAGCCATGCTTCGACGTGCTAAGGACAAAGGTCCTGCGTTTTCCGAGTGATTAGAACGAGCAGGTCAGAGTTGAACATTGGCTGTATGTGCCTTTTGCACTCTAAGAAATTTATGTTTCCCTTGGGACTGGGTGAACGGAAGATGGCCATGCTTGGTCGTACACAATTGAGATTATTGGTGAGTATGCTCACTGAACATTGTCTCTCGATAGTTCATCTGAAAAAAATGGGGAGGGTTGAGGATGTGGTCTGCCTTTTGTGCTTAGAGAAGGATGAAATGATGGAACATTTATTATTTAATTTCGAGGCAGTTGCTCGCCTGCAACTGGGGTGCTTTCGAGGAGAAGGGGACTTTGAGGCCCCCTGGAGAATCTCTTGCAGCTTGATGAAGCTGCTATACTGCAGTTTGTCAGGGGCCTGGATATAGCGTACTAACGTAGATAGGGATGAGAATCACAAAGGGTCAGCTTGGAAAAGGCTTAAGGGTCTCAGTCCCCCGGAGGCCAAAAAAAAAAAAAAAAAAAGGAATAGTGTCCTCTACTTATAAAAATGACATTTCGTGTAATTTGCGATTGAAATATTTAAATATATAATTCTTAAGAAAATTTTTAAGAGGCAAAAACTATGTATTTTAAAAATATAGAACAAATTCTTCAGGCCACTACAGCTCTATTGAATATAATAACTCATTTTTGCTGAAATGTCCAAAAAGCCTATAATTGAAATTACAATGTAATTATAGGAAATTTAATAAATTAAAAATGCAAGAATCTGAATTGGATTTTGAATAAAATATTTAAAATAAATAATCATAAGTGTGATAATCCAAGAATTATGAAAAACTAAAAAAAATTTTTAATATTTTATTGTTAGCAACAAAAAAAAATTGTTTAACCAATAAATTATAAAAATGTTGACATAAATTTTAAATGTCCACATTTAATTGCATTTTAAAAAACTATTGTAAGAATATTAAAGAAATATTTCAAATATTTACAAAACACATACAAGCATATTTCATATTTTATTAAAATTTACTACTAAAAATAAAAAAAAAATTATTGCTATAAATAAAATATTAAATAAATTTTTAATTTATTAAAAAATTTCAATTCAATTAAAATTAAGTAAATATTAAAAAAAAAAGTAAAAAAAAAAAACAATTTGCCTGTATACTAGAATTTAAATTTCTTTTTAATTGTTTTCAAATTATTGTAATAAATTTTTTTTTTCCATTCAATGTACGTCTAATAATTGAATTTGAATTTAATTTCAAATATAATTTCATAGTCATATATATACAGTGGCAATAATAATTTTATTGGACACTTATGCAATGAATAAACAAAATGGGCAGCCTGTATTTATTGCAATTTATAATGTTTGGACTATGCTGAATTTAATTTTCATTTTAATAACCTTGGCAGTTGTGATTCTGGCTGCTTTACATTAGAATATGTTAGCTCCATTAAATATTTGAGTGTGATTTTAAATAGCTAATTGTATTGGTCAGAACACACAAAATATATGTAAGGAAATACTTTTATATACTGTTATTGGACAGTAACAGTTTTATACTGTTTTACTATTTGAAGAAGATTTATTCGTAAAGGCTACTAACTTCATTCGATATTTCTGAGTTGAAACACATGATGCTTTATTAAGACCGCTTTTTGTACAACAATAGAATATAATTAGAACAATTATGTATGAATTATTTTCTTCAATAAAAATATTCTCATTGAAACATCTCTATTGTTCTCGGGTTATTTTCGGAAATTTTTTCGTAGAAGTATGGTTATTTTAATTATACAAAATCTTCTATTCATAATATTCGATTAAATAATACGAGATTGGTTTGTGTTTAATCACGTAGAAATAAACACTTATACTATATAATTTTTAAATATTTATTTTTTAAGTAACACTGGGATTACTACACAATTATTGGTTAACTTACTGCACTCGCTAATATTTAAAAATAATTAAATATTAAAAAAAATAATTATTTTTCACAATTAACAGAGTAAAATTATACTGAATTATTCAATTGGAATTATAATTTTTTTTTTTGTGTTTGACATACTTAAATACAATTTATTATAACAGAATTTAAAAATTAATTTTTTAAACTCAAATATTTACAAACTAATTTTTTTTTTGCCTAATATAACACTTATTTTCTTTTTGTTAGTAATTGATTCGCTCAGAGAGCTTACACTGCATTTATTGTAAAAATAAAATAATTTTATTATATTTAGAGAAAATATTTTTATTACTAGCAATAAAATAATAATATCAAAATTTGAATTACTATTATTGCGTATAGAACAAATACGCACACACATATGTACACTCTCTTTAATTGCATATAGATACTACATCTATAATAATGATAATAACAAAAGTATATAAGATAACATAACATATTAACACACATACTACGCTATAATCCAAATTTTGTTATACAAAAAAAAATTCGATATAATTTATATAATATAAAATTTTTATATATAATCATAATAATATAAGAATGTATGTACATAATATTATAACTGTTATATACTCTTGTATAAATATAATATTATATTCAGTAATATTATGCCTTAACTTATTTTCAAAAAACAATTAATTTCACCTTAGGGATCCTTAATTCTAAGAGCATAAATTATTAAATTTTGCATAAAATTTGTGGTTGTCTAAGGAAATTAGTAAAGTTATCGTGCTTTTAATAATTCATATTACTTTCATTTTTTTTTCTTCTTCTTATTATTATTATTTATTTTCTTTTTTTTTGTTATATTCTCATATTATTTATATTATTACATTATAAAACACATATTACACATATATTTTTTTTAAATATACAATCATATTATATGCACATCATACGTATTTGTTTTTTCCAAAAATTTTATTATCTTTTCCATACACACATATATATATGTTTATAATAATACGTGTTTGTTATAATAATATAATTATATAAGTATTTATTCATGTATTAGGATAATGGAAAAAATTTTTTATTAAAGTCTCCCATTAGAAAGAACGAGTTATTAGATGTTGAAAATACTTTGAAAATTAACCTCTCTACAAAAAAATATAGAAAGAGAGAGAGAAAAAAAGAAGAAAATTAGAAAACAAAAAAGACAACAAAAATATTATTATTTTCTCTCATATTTAATTTTTATTATAAATATTTTGGAGAAAATAATAATAATATACACGACTATAATATAGAGAGTATTATTATTAAATTTTATTATTAATATATACGAACAAAACTAAGTGTCTCACCTTCAATTGAGAATAAAAAGGCATTTAGAGAATTTTCCAATTTTGAATTTAAATAAATTAAAGAGTGTAGTAACAACTAAAATAATAAAGTTTTTCAAAGAAAATTCATAAAAGAGCACAGAGAAATGCCAAACGGAATATTTTGGAGAGGGGAGTTGAGATTATTAATTAAAGAGAGAAGAGTAAATAAATTATTTTTCAGTAAATAAAATCATTAATAGAGAATTTAGAATTAATTATTATTTAAGGTTTATTATGGTGAAAAATTAGAGAAATTTCAAAAGATTGTTAATACTTTAATATAAAAGATTATAACAGATTTGAATAATGAAAAATTTAAATTCAATTTTAATGAAATTCTCTTTAAAAACTCTCATTTACTGAAAGTAATTCGAAATTATATTTAAAATTTAAAACAATACTTAAAAGGTGAAACACTTTATTTAGAAATATTTACCCTACATTTTTGTATTTAAAAAAAAAAACTATAACAAAAAAATAGAACAGATTTTAGATTTTACATACAAACATATGAGTAGATTATATCACAATATGTTATATTTTCGATATTATAATACAAAAACAGAAAAAAAAAACAAATAATAAAAATTAAAGGATCAAGGACCTCATTTTTAGAAAGAAAATATTTTTGTATATATATACTTATATATTTAATATAGGTTTATGTTACACTCTACATTATATAACACTTATGTCCTTTAAAACACATATAAATTTATAATGTTTGTGCATATATCGAAAAAATTTATGTTAATATGAGTATAACAGAAAAAACAACAAAAAATTATTATCATTGTTTCATTCATTTCTGTTGTTATTTTCTATGTTATTTACATCATATTTTCTCATTGTATCTGTGTGTGTGTGTCTGTGCGTGTTGTATACCCCAAGTTGATTTTATTTTAAAACTTATGTTTTTCAATGTTATACCCAAAACAAAATAACATTGGGGTATACAGCAAAAAAAAAAAAAAAAGACAGCAACAACAATAACAGAAAGTAACAAAAAAAAACCTAAAAAATATGATAAGAAGATACCAAAAAATATGCCATGTTTGTAAAACTAGAAGAGATGAATCCAGGCTGAAAGATGAATAAAATCTGAATAAGGAGCAAAAAAAAGAGGCAAAAAAATATTTGTGTGCGTGTTCAGTTTTTTTCTCTTTCTGTTTGTTCTAATTTTTGCTATTGTTTTTTTTTTTGTTTTTTTTTGTTATATTTTTTATTCATAAATAGGATTTATGTTTATGAGAGTTTAATATTCCCGAATATATCATATTAAATCGCCTTTTGAAGCATAATAACAATAAATATTTTCAAGAAAGTTGGGTTTTTTTGTTTGCCATTTTTTATTTCATGTTATTTTTTTTTTTTTTTAAAAATTCAAGTGGTAACTGGATATCGTATAACATTGAAATTTAAATTTTTTTTTTAGACTGTTATACTACGAGTATATGCTTATATTTTAAGTATACAAAATAAAAGTCAGTTTATTTCTCATGTTGCTTTTTTAGATTTTATTTATTATTTTTTAAAAGATAGAATTTTAATTTTTTTAACCCATTTCTTACTGGTTTCTCTTTTTTATTTTTTTTTCTCTCTTTATTATTGTTATATGATTATTTTTGAGATTGAAGAGAAAAAAATTATTTCAAAAATTATTATGACATATTTTTGTCCGTCTATTTAAAATATAAAATTTTTTTTTATTATTATTATTATTTTTGTTATAAAATAAAATTATTTATTTTTTTTTTTTTTTATTGAATATTTATTATGGATTTATAATAAGGATTTTGAAATGTTAAATTGTGACAAAATCTATAATAACTATAAGAGATAATAAGTGTTATAATAAATTTTATTTGAAAAAATTTATTAGTTGGATTTTGTTTTAAAGTAGCTACTAGTTGAGTTTTGTTAGAAGTTATGAGCTGAATGTAAAATTTATGATGTTATAATTGAATGGAATTACCCTATATAGTAAAACTAAAACAAAATGGTATTTTAAGTAATATAATTAAATTAAATAGAATTTTATTTTTATGAAAAATAGGGTACCGGTTACAATTATAGGCACTCTTAAGCGGAATTTCTCATAAAACTTTACTATACAGAATTGTTAAAATTTGACCATTGGCAAAAAGTAAATTGAATATTCCTCTTTCATAATTATAATAAAACTTATTAAAATATTAAATAATGTTATATTTGGAAATTCTCCACAATATTAAAAATTATCATAGTTGAGCCATGAAAGATTAATTAATTTTCGTATTTCCGGTTATTCCCACATCTTGTGAAATACTCAACTTGAACACCAAAAAAGGTTGAACAATATTTACTTCCTCAAGTTTAAATAGCGTATATTATTACACTATAACACCAAAAACTATAACAAGTAAAAAATTGCATATTTTTAGGCAATTCATATGGTACGTATAATAATATTATATTAAAATGTTTTCTAATTTTCTTTTAAAAATTTCTTTAATTACATTTTTTTTTTCTAAATTTTGTTGATAATTATTGAAATATGAGAATAATTATTGTTACTAAAATAATAAAATTAACCATTTTATTTGCATGTAATTAAAATATTTTTCATAATAATAATTATTTTTTTTTTTTTTTTTTTTGAATTTCACACATATTGTAATGTAAAACCAAAAATTTCTTATTATATCCTTGAATTATATAACTATCATATTGTTTATACGATTCATGGAATTAAAATGAAATTTAATTAAAATTATAGCAGTACGGAATATATGGAAACCATATCGCATCTTAAACGATATTTAGATTCTTATTACAATTTAAAATTGAAGAGACCAACAAAACGAAAAGATCGCACAAAGTGTATATGTTTACAATTCACATTTTGTTAATTTATTTAGTGCCTAATTTTTATTATTATTTTTTTTTTTAATCGGAGTAAATTAAACTTAATATTAAACAATTAAAATAATTAAATTCAAATCGAACTAAATGTCGTTTGCCAGTCGACAAACTCCCCAAGAGATCACTTAACGAATTTCTGTATTTTGTCGAATCAGTTCTTTTGCGATTTCGAAAATTCGAATCAGCAGTGAATTCGAAATATATATATTTATGGTCAGAAAAGGAATGATCTTGTGTGACTTTCCAATTCGTGACCATACCAGGAATCGTTTGGGAGGCGAGTAATAAATGCTCTTAGCCCCTATTACATGTTTAGCAGTATTAGTACTCAAGAAAAATTTTAAAAGTAACTCACCTTTTATGTTTGTGTCTGAGCTTCCACAGATGGTGTGATGTGCTTTAATATATCAATAAAAATTCTTATTTTGCTCACAATTTTCTGTTCTCTCATTCATGTTTCTCTTTCTCACAACACCATTTACCCTAATCAAATAAAAATTGACTAAAATAATAAACAAAATATTTATTTATTGCACTAAATTATTCTCAACAAGAGAGAAAATCATTCTCTCTTGAAGAAAACAAAATACTCACCACTTTTCACGTACAATTTTATTTAAACTAAAATTGATTGTGTTTGATAAGCTTAATTTCACAAATTATAAAGAACACTTTTATTTTTTTTTTTTGTAAATAATTTTCCAACAAGTAAGTCTGATTTTATTTCACAAAAAAAAAATATAATAATGAAAACTATTTAAACAAAAACCAGAAAAATCCTAAAAAAAAAAATTATTTTTTTCTCTACTTCACTGAAAACTTACAAAGAAATGGCCGAATCGAGCAAAACGAAAAAAAAAAACAACAACACAAAAAAAAATACCCTGGAAAATTTCATTGCAAGTGTTTTTTTTTTCTCCTTCTGCTTCTTCTAAATTTCATATTCAGAGCATTGCTTCCGGGTACAAGATACACTCATAGCACAAGAAAATTTGAAATTTTCATTGATTCCATTATTACACGAATTAAATTTTATTTTTACAAAAAAAAAAAAAAAAATTTTAAATCAGGAGAAAAAGCACCGTTGTATTTTTACTTTTCATTACGGTTGAATTAAAATTTTTCGCATCACTTATCACTAAAATTTTGTTATAAATTTTTTATTGGAATTTTAAATGTAGCAAAAATATTTCAATTTAAGTGCATAGCTTCCAAGTTTTAAATAAAAATTTGTTTCCCTCCTATAAGAAGAAAAATGGCAACAATAAAAAATTTAAATAAATTTTTCAATTTATTTTACACCTTCAATAAAATTTACAATATTTTTTTATAATAGAATAGTTTTGGTATTATGCAAGTGCTACTCGTACACAACATTAATTCGAATATGCAAGTGTTATAACATTTTTAAAAACAAATTCTTTTTTTCTTCGAAAATTTTAAAAGGTTTCAAATTTATTTCACTAGTTTTTCTCCATGAAGATATTAATTTTGAATATTTTAAAAAATAACAAATTGTTTTGCTCTATTTCGGAGTTCTATTACAATTGACTAAGAAAACTAGAAACTAATTTAGTAAAGAATATTTTTTATTCTTATTGTCCTTTAAGAGTTCTACAAATTCTACAAAACTTAAACAAATTTTTCTAATTAATTTTAATTATTTGTCACAAATTCGGTATATTGTCAAATTCAACACAGTATTATTGTCTTCGAAATACAATAGAACTGATTTAATTCATAAAATAGTGACAGTAAATCGATATTTCACTCAATTATTATTATTCTCAATAGAATATTGTTCTCTTTTGTAAGTTTAAGCTGTGATTTTTGTAAATATCTCGTGACTTCGTATTACTTCGTTAGTTCTCTTAAAACTTTATTAGCATGACAATAATTGACCTGTTTTGCTCAAACGAACTCTAATTTATTTTTAAACAAAAAATCAAAATGAAAACCTGGGATAATTCAATTTTAGAAAGTGATTTTAAAGTTTTTCGTAAAAGTCGCAAATTTCTAAAAATTAATAATAATAGTAATAAAAATAAGGATATAGGACCGAAACCTGAATTAAATATTAAAAATATTATAAATTTTTATTTAAATAATTCAACAATTCATGGAACAACATATCTTGTAGATCCAAATTACAATTGGTTTACAAGGTTAGCTTGTAATTTTTCATCAATAAAATTTTTATTAAACCCTCATTTTATATTACTAATAGATTCATATGGGGAATTTTAATATTGGCTGGCTTAAGTGGTATTTATTATACATGTAACACTTTACAAAATAGTTATCAAACAAATGTTATTAAAAATATTATGGAAACTGGTATGATGTATCCAGATACTTTACCATTTCCAGCTGTTGTTGTTTGTAATAACTATTATATAAATTGGAATAAAATTGAAATTGCTGAAAATTTATTTTTACCAAAGAATAGTACAGCAGTTTTAAAAGAATTATTTCGTAATTTTATTGCTGGATTTGAAATTGATTATTTTATTGAAATGAAATCAGCATCAAAATTTAATGGAACTGATCTTAAAAAATTAGATTTTCTTAATATAACTGAAGTATTAGAATTTTTATCATTTGATGTTGATCAAGTTATCGGACGTTGTCGATGGAAAAATTCTGAAATGAATTGTTCAAAAATATTTTTTAAACAAAGAACACAGATGGGTTACTGTTTCATATTTAATTCATTAATAAATCCGAAATGTAAAGAAGAAGCGGTGAGTCTAATGAAAATATAAAAATTTTGTTTTAACAAATTCTAAAATACTCAAACTAGCCAAATAATCTCACCATTTTTATTACATTGAAGAAAAAATTAATGCCAGATGCTCCGTTTCCATGGACAACCGGTGGAAGTGGTAGAAGAAGTGGTCTCCGTATTGAATTAATACCACATTTCTCCGAAAATATTCCAAAACATTTGAATAAGCATGATAGTTTTTTTGTAAAACAACTGAAATTAAATTAAAAGAATTAAAAAATTTTTAATAATTATTTTTTTTATTTTTTTTAAGATACGTGCCGTAGATTCAGATGATTGGCCAGCAAGAAGAGGTGATCATATAAAATCGGTTACATTAAGTTATTTTATTATTGATCAAGTTGATATTCAAGCAGAAAATGCTATTAAAGCACTACCAGTCATCCAGAGAAATTGTTTATTTAATGATGAAGTTATTCAAAGTAAAGATTATATCGATTTTAAATCTCATTATGCAATATGTAGAATTAATTGTAGATTAAGACAAATTTTAAAATATTGTAAATGTGTACCAGATCATTTGATTCCGAAAAGTAAGTTTGGAAAAAAAATGCTATTTAATAATTTTAAATTGATACTGGAGTGTATATCAAGGGGAGGCAAGTTTCATTACTTTAATTTTTTGTTATGCAATAGAAAGTATTCCATTCCACAATTATTGACGATGTGGCAGTGGTACGTTGTTATCGACCTTCGAGTGCGTTTTCGGGTATTGAAGACACCATTTATTTGTTACTTCAATATCACCTAAGCTACTTATTTTTACAAGGTTAAGACAAGGTCAAAAGCAAAAAAAAAGCCTCCTTAAAGTATTATAATTATTTATGGTTTATAAAAATTTCTTGATTTGGATGACACAAAACCGGAGTCTGAGACCGATCTAAAAATTTCTGTCACGTACTCGGCAATATAAGTCCTACAACATAACAAAAAATTATAACAATGAGAGGCTACTTGCTTGTTCAATATACTCGAATAGATTTGTCATATTTTAATTTTTCAATTTAATAAAATTTTATTTTAGCACGTTTTAAACCATGTACAGCTACCGGTTATCATTGTATTGCTGTTAAACATGATATAATAGCAAATTATTCATTTTCAATTAAAGATAAAGATACTTTCAGTTTAAATGGACAATGTCATTGTTTTACATCTTGTTCAATTATACTTATTGATACGGATGTTGTTACCAAACAGAATGAAATAAGTAATAGAACTGTTATTGATTTTCATTATCGTAAAGTTGCTACACCAAAATTTCAAACTTTATTATCATTCAGTTGGGCCGATTATATGGGTACAATTTTAAATTTTTTGATTTATAAAATGTTAAAACTTATGATAATTTCCTTGAATAATTATTTTTAGTATATTTTGGTGGAATATCATCAACATTTGTTGGAACATCAATTATGAGCATTTGGGAAGGAATCTTTTATATATTCATGATTATTTCAGCATTATTTTATAAAATATGTAAAAAGATTTTGTCATGGTAGAAAGTATTAACAACTCTCTCCATAAATTTGTAATTGTAATTTTGTTATAATGAAAGAGTATTGCAAAAATTTTACTAATAAAGTTCTGAATTAATTACTGTGAATTCATTATTGTGAATTCATTACTATTACATATATGATTACAATATTAGAAAATTTAAAACAGTATAAGAAAAGTTTAAAAATTATAATAATGAATAAATAATTTGTGATCTCTGCCGAATCTCTATTCATTATGATTTACGATTTACAAATTATTAATAGAAATTTTCAAATATGCAAATTTGTGTAAATATCTATGTATGTATGGATTTAATTTTAAGCATCCATGTAACACTAAATATCAAAAATGAATATTAATATTTTGAAACATTATAATGATTGCTTGTATACACTCTCTCTCTTCTGCCACTATCCTCAACAGAATGTAAGCAGTCACATGTTAAGCTAAGCTTGATGTTATATTAAAAAATTAATTTCTGTCTGCAGCAGTGTAAAACAATTCTTGGGCTGCTCTTATTCCAGTCCAGTTTTTTGATATTACGAAGTCAAGAAATTTGCTTTCCATTGAAAGAAGTTCATACTCATTACAATATTCATTTCTATTGGCAAAAATTTCCTCATTTTTGATATGGTCCGTCCACGATATTTATAGTATTCTTATTCGTATTGTACAAACTATAAGATTTAAAAATTCGTAGCAATTTTAATGAAACCTTGCCTACGATAAAATTCAATTTCTGAAGGAATAATTAGTAATGGTATAGGTTAGTCCAAATGAACAAAACTGTGTGGCACATCTTTTACTTCTAAAATTATCCCCGTGTCTCCTTTAATCTCTTAATTTTGTTGCACATTTTTTCACTATATTTGACTTTATTTTTACCCACATTCGTTATGTTCCACATTTATCCCCATTTTTTATGTAGTTGATGTGAAGTTTTCATGTCTGCTTACCTGCTTGTTTGGCAAAAATCTTATAATCTACCTTAAGCTTACTTCATAATCATCTAGAATTCTGAAATATTCGGAAAAGCTGAAATATTCGTGGTGACAATTGATGTTATTAACAAATCACTGTATCTGTTTTTGGCGACACCACTGTCTATCATATTATGACTTCAGTTCACATTTTTACTTAATGTTACACCTTGCTGTCGATTATTTGCTGGCCAGATCAAAATTATTTTATTATATTGTGAGAAATCCTTTTAAAATACGAGTATATTCTAAAATTTTATAATATGTTATAATTTCGAAATTCTTGTATATACCATAAACAATTCTAAGTAAATATGCAACTAAATGGAAAGGTACGCTTTGAGTTATAAAGTGCTTTGGAACTTGAAAAAAAAAATTGTAAATATTACTCGTATTTTTTTATTTACTCTAGTACTTTTTTTTTACAAATACATTTTTCATAACAATTTTTGTCAGTAAAACATGAAAGTCTTTAAAGTAATTTCTGTTTTTTTCGTCTACAAATAAAAAACGGAATGACTCTGTTTGTTTTACCACACACCAAACAGAAAAAAACCCAGTTACTCGTATGAAATAAAAATAATAATAATAACAATCATAAGAATAATAAAAGAAATCCTTATAGTGTTCTTCAACTAAAAAAGCTGTAAATAATACCCCAACTTTTATGATTCTCCTCAATTCAAGTAGACAAACATCTACTAAAATATCTATGTGTGGTTGGTGTTTTCTAAGAGTATATTCTGCTATTACGAGGGCTATACTCATCTAAACACATTTATATTTTATTTTTAGTTTGTTTACATGCATTTTTATATTAACATTATTGTGTCCTTTTTCCTTTTATAATAGAAAATGAGTTGATATTTTTTTTTTTCATCATCTTGAATTAAAATAACCATAAAACCTAAACGCAAATAAAAAAAAAATATATAGAGAAAAGTTTTTCAATTTAAAGATTTTTGATGACAACCACTGACTAAAACTGAATTTAAATTCTGAGAAAAAACAAAAAATGGAATTTCATTTTTAATATTATTTACGTACTGGTGGCGCTACATGCATATAGACACATATAAAAAAGCTTATTATGTGTGTATTTACCCCCTCTCCCTATTGTATATATTTTTTTTTGTTTATTGTTATGTGCAATTGAATGGAAGAGAAATGAAATGAAAAGTTTGAGACATAATTTCATAAATTATTCAGGATTATAAAAATAAATAAAAAAAATCTGATGTGGTCAGCACATAACCGACCGCATTGTGTATTGTCTAGTTAAATGAAAGTGTTACAGAATATTATAAAAATGTTTGCTAAATACTTCTTTCCAATTTTTAGGACATTAGTAAGCTTATAGTTAACATACTTAGAAAAATGTAAATTGGGCTCTTAGTAGAGTTTCGCTTTGTGCTACCCGAATTCCCTGAAATGCTCGCCAGTTAGTTTCGGTAACAACCAGAACTCAAATGTCAAATTTCAAGAAATTCCATCAATTTATTCTGTGGATATGGTGAAAAATGTAAAATCGGCCCGCAAATCAGTTCTCGAGTCCTGATCTTTCCAAAAAAGTTATATGTTCATTGCTTTAATATGAGGAATTCATATATTAAATTTCAATGAAATCGGTTGATTATTTCTCTTTATATACACAAAAGTGTATGTTTGGCCCGTAGTAAACGTCTAGTTGCCGATGCCTGATCTTTCCAAAAAATTTACATGTTCATTATTTTAATACGGGGAATTCATATATTAAATTTCAATGAAATCGGTTGATTATTTCTCTTTATATACACAAAAATGTATATTTGGCCCGTAGTAAACGCCCAGTTGCTGATGTCTGATTTCTTCCAAAAGTTAGGAATTTTTGCGTATGATCGAGCAAAGCTTATATATGAAATTTCAAGTAAATCGGTTGAATACTTTCTTCAAAATGGTGAAAAATGTAAAATCGGCCCGCAAATCCGTTTTCGAGCCCTGATCTTTCCAAAAAATTGATATGTTCATTGTTTTAATACGAGGAGTTCATATATTAAATTTCAATGAAATCGGTTGATTATTTCTCTTTATATACACAAAAATGTATATTTGGCCCGTAGTAAACGTCTAGTTGCCGATGCCTGATTTCTTCCAAAACATACGAATTTTTGCGGACGGTCGAGCTGAGCTTATATATAAAATTTCAAGTAAATCGGTTGAATACTTTCTTCAAAATGTTCAAAAATGTAAAACAGGCCCGCTAAAAAGTGCAGTTCCCGAGGCCTGATATATACCAAAAGTTGATCGATCCGTGCCATGGTGGAAACAAACTTACATATAAAATTTCATCAAAATCGGTTCAGCCGAACTTGAGATACACGCGTGCACACACAGACCGACAGACGGACAGACCGACAGACCGACAGACCGACAGACCGACAGACCGACAGGTTGCTAAAAATAGTTTATTTACACTTCCCCACTATGGAGAAGTACGTTCCCACCGAAAACTCGATATGCAAAATTTGTTGCCATCACATAACCTACCTATTGTTTACACAATACGGTCGGTAAAAATTCAACGCAACCTTAAGTCTAAACAGTATTGGTTCTCTAAATTGCTTTGGTCGATAATTTTAAAATAACATAACATGAATATGTTAGAGTTTCATTGATTTCTGGCCAATTTTCGATTTATAATATTGATTATATAAATAAGAAAACACAAATTTACTTTCTGGTCGGTGTTGCCTGAAATTGAAAGAAGATATTGGTTTTATTATTGTTATAGTCTAATATTAAGTAAATGATAGCATGCCTATTATGAAGCTCTCATTATAATCAGTTATTGATCAACGAATTCCTTTTTACAACTGTCCGTTAAAAATCAGGAACATTTCCAGATATTTCTGTCCATATTTTAATGATTACTTTAAAAAGCACCTAATCGCAATTCTCTATGTCCAGCAAAAGTCCTGCATTTAGTGACCTGCATATTTTGAAAAAATCGTTTAGGAAAGATATACATAAGGAGGTAAAATGAATCAATAAAATTCGGCATCGATAAAACGAACTAATATAAAATTTGGCAAAATATCTACCTAGAAGTTAGAAAAGTAGTTGAAACCAGATTGTAGGACGCTGTTCTTATAACATATCTTATTGATATCAAAATTTCACCCGTCTAAAGGGATATTTCATAGAGTTTTATTCTCGATATGTCAATTGATTAACTGCTTTCCATTGTGCAAATTCAAAGTTTGGCTTCATAAATTCTTATCGTTTGATTTCTGAAAAGATAGGACAGTAGGGTGTTAAAGTCGTGAGTGGCTCAGTGTTTTTTTTTTGTCCGCCGATTGCTCTCTCTTGCTTAATGTATTTTGTTTGAATTCCCAGTGATTTTTCTTTCATGAGTGATCATGCTTGTATTTTTAATTGCAGTGATCCGAAAACTTGAATTTAGGACCGTGACAATGGAGTGGAGGTACGTATAAACAGCTACAAGCATACCATTCAATTTTTTTTACTTTTAGTTTTGGGTGTGTTTCTTGTCTAATTCATAACAAGCTCGACTATTAGTAAATTTGAATTTCCTTACTCAAAAGGAATAGTTCGCACAATAAGTAAACAACTGACCTTTTTCGTGTTTAAAATTTACACAAGAACATTTTTATCATAATTTTATTATAAAAACAAAAAATATTTTATTTATAAGGACATAAAAGTTTTATATTTTTTGACCTTCAATAAACTTGAATTTTATTTTAAAGTTTACAGACCTTTTTATAGTAATAATGTGGAACAAATTTCATTTTCCATTGGGATTTTTAAATAATTTTCGTTTATTTTATGTATTTTTACTTAATTTTTACAATGCAGTATTTCACAACAATATTTTGCAGGAAGAATTTTAAATTATACAAGTGCACTTACTATATAAAATATTTATAAAATATTATGAAAAAAATTTCCTTCAATGGTCTTTTATTCAAACTTTTTAATTAGATACTTTTGTGATTTGTAATATTATACAAACTGATACGATAATTAAATACAAATGAATAGTAGACGACAATTTCAAGTCAATTTTGGAAAGTCTACAAGAGATTGTGTTTTAAATAAGATTTTCATTATATTATAAAGGGGAACTAATTACAAGAGAAACTATAATTGACTCATAGACCGGTCGACATTGTGACGACGCTTTTATATTTTCATTGATTAATTTATTTAACTCGATGGTGTTTTTAAATGAGTCACAAAGATCGTAAAATAAAATAAAACAAATTATTATTTGTTCTGCCAAATTGATAGCTTTTATGCAATCATATATTGCTTAAAACAATCTGAGTCTAAATAATAAAATCGATATTCTATTGTAATATTTTACTATTACATTGCATACATTTAGGAGGAATGTAATAGTATAATCGTTAGAAATGTGACTTTAATATCGTCAGTCCGAATATTGAATTAGATTAATTTTACAGTTTAAAAAATTGATAATTTATATAAGGAGACTATTTAGGATAAGGCATTCAAAAGTCGGCAAAGTGCGGCCTGTGTGCAGCATGCGACCCATTCAACTTCAAAATGCATCCCATCATTCTGCTTGTAAGAAAAAAACATGTTCGATTACGACTATTAAAATTTGAAAAAATTTTTTCAAAAAAATTTTTTAAAACTCAATCATTGATAATATTGGTACATGAAGTTCCGTACAATTTTATTGTTCGTCAAAACAAAACAATCAAGAAAGTCCGAAAAAATTTCATTTCTTCTTGTAGTTTCTAGAATAGGTACTGTAAGAAACTCATACTCACATTGAACATATTTACCCATAATCCACAAAAGTTTGCCGATGGTTTAGGTATTGTTGGCTTTACAGAAGTTCGATAAGTTCATAAGTATACAAGAAGTAAATGCCCGAAAATTTTATCAATTTGTAAGATTTATGGGATAAACACTCGGGAGGAGTATAATATTCACGGATGTAATATTCTTTTGAAACGTCAAAATTTGGCTACAAATAGTTTTAGAATATTTGTTCATGGAAATTGCCTTATATATTTAAGAATATAGCATAAACAATATTAGTTACACAATTGCGTTTGCCAAATTCAAAAAATGTCTACAATGTACTCAAAGAAGGTTTTCAAATGCTTACGTTTTTGAATTTTACGTTGTAACTATATTAATACCCAAACCAAATATGTAAACAATTTTCTGTAAAAAATTTTTTTGTCTTCAAAATTTGATTTCTTTTACCTTGAGAGCTCTGGAAATTTTCAAAATCCTTGTTTTTTATAGAACATTTTGTTGAACAAAAATTACAAAAGAAAAAAAAAACTCCACATTTTTATTGCTTCCTACCTTTGTCTTCATGTTTTATATTTTAATTGCTTTATTATAGTTAAAAAATTTCTATCATTCCATTTATTACGTTTGGGGAAAATCAAAATCCCAAAGGAAGTAATTTTTCCTTTTGTTCACTTTTGTTTATAAATAGCCATTATAACTTATTAAATTAACTAATTATTCCCATGACGGAACACCATCATGGATCTAGAAAAAAACAAACGTGTTTATAGTGTAGACTAAAAAAAAAAATGTTCATAACGCGAAAATTAAAAATAACTAATGAAATGACTAGAGAAATTTAATGAATAATAAAGTTTATAACCTATACCAAGCCAATACTTTCAATAATGACACTACACGCGGCGCGTCCATAAAGCTTGATATATAAGACTTTTTAATTAATTATGAAAAAAAAAATTCATTATACTTTTTCAACTTAATTAATAATCATTATAAATTTTTTTATTTTTATTATTTTAATTTTCACATATTTAAACCTCAAAATATTATTTAACGTATTTGTGGATACATTGGTTGGAATGCGATACCACATTGATTATTTGCATGACGTGCCATATACATATAACCGCCGCTGCCCCAATTACTACCCCATGAATTTTTGAATACCCAATATGGTTGATTTGCATTATTTACACCATAACCGACAACAGTAACAAAATGATTAATACCACTTGGATTTAAATAACAATTTGCATCATAATATAATCCACCATTATAATATTTAAAACTATTTAATCCAGCATTAATTAATACAACAACTGGTCCGACAGTGAGTGCTTGCATTAATGCATATTCATCATTTTGTGCTGTTCTATACCAATTGTTAATATAATATCTTGGATTGCTATACCTACATTGTCCTACAACACCACGATATGGATTTCCGGCTGCGGCACCAACTCCATTGTCTTTAATATAATTCAATGTAGCATGCATAAAACCATATTGGCATCCTTTATTACCATAATTGCTACTACAATCAACAATTTCTTGTTGTGATAATTGTATTAATTGTTTATATTTAATAAAATAATGTCCTTCAACAGCTGCTGTTGATGCCATTGCATAACAACTACCACAACTACCTTGATTTATAACTGGATTACGAAAACCGAAATCAACCCAATTAACCATATTTGGTAGACTACGTGCTGTTATATTTATTTGTGGTAATGATTCCCATTCTTCAGATGGTATTGCTTTTCCATTTGCAATTTGACTTTGATATTCATCATCAGTTAAATCAGCAAATTCATTAATGGACATTTCAAATGTAACTATACCAGCTTTATATTTTCCATTATGTTCTTCGATTTCATGTAAGGCTTTCAAGAAAATTTCTTTACGAATTTCATCCTCTTCTGGACTATAATTTTTACCATATTCCTTTTTGAAATTCTCCCATTGTTCAATTTCATTAGCTTTTAAATTTAAAAAAGCTAAATTTAATACAATTAAAATTATTAGAAATTTCATAGTAAACGCGTTTAATTATATAAGTTGCCATTTTTGATTTCATTAGACTTTTATACCTAGAATTTTGTAAAAATAACACGCTCTTACGTTTATATATGTATTAATTTATCCATATAGTGTCTTTTGTATATTCAGATTAGATAATTTTAAAGTGATTTGCATTTGACAAAAATAAAAATAATTGAAGATTAAAGTTTTCCACTTTAATTATGAATCACTTATAATTTTTGAGTATAACACTTCAAATGTCATTTGAAATATAATTAAAATTTTCAAATAAATTTTATTTCCTACTTATCATTCGGACACCAATCGAAAATTTCGAAATTTCGGATTCTACGAGTATTGTTCTCTAAAGTACTTCGTTTTGATAAGCAATTATTTTTTATAATACTTCATCCAAAAATATACGAATATAATTTCGATCCATCAAAATTCAATTCACAATTTCTCAACATTGTTGTAAACAATTATCAGGCACAGAATGTCAAACTTCCCAAAATAAAAAAACAAAAATCAAGACAGTTATTATCAGGATATCAAACAGTAAATAAAGCTTATCAATTTGAGATAAACAAAAAATCAAATTTCTAATTAGCTTGTAATAGATTTAAACAAACAGATATGTTATGTATCTAGATAAATTGATTTTAAAAACATAAAAAAGGGCTACTATTGTGTTCAATTACCATCATGTTAGCAATCAATTACTATCGTGTTAGTAATCAATTACAATCATATTTATTTTATTCAACCAACACTTGTATAATTGCTCACTTATTATTTAACACTATTTTGAAAATTTTTTCGTCATCAAAACTAAAGGAGTGAAATAACAACTAGATAAGGTACTAACACCGAGTTTAATAATTAAAAATAATAGTTGGACTTTCATAATTTATACAGTAGAACTACCTTTTATTTGAACCGCATTAGAATTTTAAGAATATTATGGGATTATGAACAGAATTTGTATAAAAAAATACGAGTAAGTGATTTTGCCTTTATTTAATTAATGTAATTGATGCATTGAGAGTAGAGCACTACCGTCCTAATACCGTTAGATCTCCAAATCCTTATATAAGGGAACCTAAGTTTTTGTATAACAGGAAAAATTCCACATTTTTGTTTGGGAGACTAAAATGAACCAGCCTTACTATCAAAATATTTATAATAAAAATATTATGCCAATGTTGTAACAGAAAGTAGCGAAATAATTCAAGTAGAGCTTATCGCACTGACTCGTTTGATAATAAAATAAGTGTTTTATATATAAAATTTAATTTAAATAAAGTATAAAAAATTTTAATTAAAATTTTTTTAATTAACATGTGAATTTGGAAAATTTCCAAATCAACTTTTCGATTTAAAACGGAAAATATTTTACGTAATGCTTATGAGTTGAACAATCTTTTGGGGTTATTCAATTCTATATTGATTTCCACGAAAATTAATTAATTTTCATTTCGTTACTAGACTAGACAATTTTTTGGCCAAAAATTTTTCAACAGCAAATGAATTTGTTTATTTGAGTTCACCCATTATTAAATAAAATTTCCGTGTATTTTCTATAATCACTTCAATTTTTGTAAGTTATCATTTTGAGTGCACCCATTATTGAACAAAATTTTGTGTAATTGCTTAACAATTTATTATCGAAGTGCTGTCAGATTTACTTCAAATGATTATTAATATTTACAGATTGAAATGATAAAGCGAACAATATTTTGTATGAGATAATAATTTTATTTATATACAAACTCTTTTACAAAATTTTAAATAATTCCGTTATAGTAGCTTAAGATTTTCGAAAATAATATGATAATATTTTTTCATGTCCCAGATTTTATCTTATCACAATAAGTAAATAATAATGTTGTTAATACAAAATCAAATATTTATTATAACATAGTAGTTAATTTGTAATATTGGCAGTCAGTATTATGCCACTTAAGATAAAATTCTTGAAAATTATTGTGGTAAACATGCAATTTATTATCTATTATACGTTATGTATAGGGAGAATCAATTCCTTACACGCGTACCTACGAATAGTATTTGATTACAGAGTTATATTTCAGTTCACGCATGATAACAATAAAAGCGAAAAAGAGAGAACGTCAAATAATTTATTCCATTTTTTAATTGATTTCTTTAACTCGCAATAGTTTTTACTAATATAATTGAAAATATTTGGAACTACAATAATTGGGAATTGAATAATGGAATTAAATAGACTTACACTAAAATTTCTAATATAATTTTTTTAACACTATTGAATATTTCGTTTCTTAACAGCTGCCAATAATTTTTTTTAATATTTAACATTTTAATTTTAACATTAATATATAAAAGCATATATAAATAATAATAACAAATTTTTAAATTGATTCCCAACATAGGTCTATTTGATTCTCAATTCAAGTCTAAAGCCCAGTGGTTGAAATTTATTTGCTAAACTCTTTAAATTGCTACAATGTAAAAATACCTAAATTGAGAAAGTTACGGGAAAGACTTTAAGAAGCAACTATTCAACGAAAAGGATTTACGAAAAGAAACTTGAATTTTGAGTGATTTTTTGAGTGCTTTTTGTTTGATTGTTTTTGATTTGAGTGCTTTTTTGAGTGTTTTTTTTAGTGCTTTTTGTTTGAGTGTTTTTTTTGAGTGATTTTTTTTTTTTAATTTTTGAAAAAAACATTATTTTTGAGTAATATTTTGAGTGATTTTTTCGAGTTTTTTTTTTTTTCATAAAGTTTTCGAATGAAAATTTCTAATTAATTTTGATTTATGAATGAAAATTTTGAGTAATATTTTTAAGCATTTTCCAATAAAATATTTGAACGATTTTTAAAATATTACTTTGGTTTTCAGAAAAAAAAAGTACTCATTTTTTAATTGATTTTTTTAATTTTTTTCAAAAACTTTCTACTGATCCTACTCCCAACTTTTTAATACATAAATGCAATTTGTGTATAAAAACAAACTAAATACACCTAATATATCTACTATGAAAGTAGAATTTAATTTGACACGGTGAGGTACTAGACCGGCTTCACTCAATAGAATATACTACCATAAAATTGATAACAATTGATTTTTGTGTGGTGGCGAAACTTTTTATACATTGCCAATATTATTGAAACTAGAGAACAAATAACATATATAGATAACAATCTTATTTAATTAAAATTAAATTTGTAAATATTTTGTGAAACAATTCTAATTAACACTTATTAATTAATTAATAATTCTTATAGTTGTCACTTACATTAATTGAAAAATATTTTTGAAATTAATAGCAAATCTATAAAATTTTCATATACTTAAATCAATTATTAATATTGTAATTCTTTTGTACCTTTTACTTTAACATTTCAATTAAAAATATTTGTAATAGCTAGGTATTTTTTAAAAAATAATCATTGGAGCTCTATAATTTATAATTCACTTTAACAATTTTAGTCTTAAATTAAATTTCAAATATAATCGTCTAACTCTAGCGATTCAATAGAAATTCAATAGAAATGAAAAGATTGAATTTTAAAATTATTCCTAGAAATAAGAGTAAAATCAAACAATTCATCTATACATATACACAAAATTCAAGTATCCACGGGTTCAAATATCTTTTAAATAAACGTGTCAATATATACGGAAGGTTTGTTGACAATATAAAATATAATTCCCACTGTTTATAATATACCTTGTATATAAGCCATATAATAAAAGATCTAGTGTATAATGGAGAAAATCTAAAATAAAATTAAATTTTTTTTTTTCTGTATTTTCCCTTTTCTCAATTTTCCTTTTTTATTATTACAGAATTGTTTGGTTTCTTTTTGTTTTCATAGGCATTCTAGGATTACTAAACATTATATATGAATCAATAATAAAAAAACAAAATTTAGAAAGATTTCAATTGAAAAATATAATGGAAACTCCTTTATATTCTGTACATAGAATAAGTTTTCCATCAGTTACAGTTTGTAATTACAATCGTATAAATTGGAATAGGATCAATATAACAATCAATAAATTTTTACCAAACAATAAAACAAATTCAATTGAAAAATCTTTTATTAAATTTCTTAAATTACATGAGAGTACATCAACAATTTTAACATCAATGGATTTTGAAAATTTTTATAAAACAATTAATGAAAATGATTTTTTAATATTAAATAAAATTAATTTTACCCAAGTTTTTCAATATTTATCATTTAAATGTGAAGAAATTTTTCGTACATGTTGGTTTAGAGTACGTAATATAACATGTTGTAAAGTTTTCTTTGAATTAAAAACTTTTAATGGATTCTGTTGGACATTTAATTCAATATATCATAAGGATAAATTTGAATATGAGGTAAGTTTAATTGAAAAATTAATTTTTATGAAAAATTATGCAGGACAGACGTTTAAAACAGAAACACGTGCGTCTATGCGCTACACGAATCTAATTCAATTTAAATTCAATTGTCGAATATAAACTGCCGCCAAGATTCAAAAATTTTTTTTTCTTATTATCAAAACGACCGTCCAGACTATATTATAAAAATTATGCACAAATAAGTTGAGTACAGTATACCCGTTATTTAAGAAAACTATTTCAATAGGAGCTGTGACAGCTAACTTGTTAACTAAAACTCAGCTCTAAGAAAGCCTTACGTTTATCAGAAAATTGACTTATTTTCCATTAATAAATCTTAATTTTTTTAAATAACTCTTGCATTAATGAAATTTTTTTTATAATTATACAGAATCCAGAGCCAGTATATCCGTGGAGAGCGGCACAAGGTGGTAAAAGATCAGGTCTTGTTGTAACTTTTAATTTAAATAAAACAACGCATCGACCAAATTTTCCTCATGAAAAAGGAATAATGGTAATTTATTTTAATTAAAAATTATTTTAACTTCTATCTAAAAAATATTGAAACTAATAAAAAAAAAAAGTAATTGCATTTAATATTTTGTTTGACGGCACCAGTAAAAATAAAGAATTCAAGTGGCGCATAATTTTATAATAATACTGATCTATATTTTGAAAGCTTTTCGATTCTTTTCGTACTGTTTTTGCTTCTTACCGTACCATAAACTTAAATCATTTGCTGCACCTCTCGCATAGTTGAGTTCTGATTCAAATTTGAATTGGTTCAATTAAAGGGACATAATATCAGACGAAATATGGGTGGAATAGAGTGGAGACCCTGGTACATATAAACACGATCCATATTTTTAAGTCATATTCGCAGTGCGTATCGAAACTGAAAATAAATTGGCAACAGGTTCCTTATTGTCAAATAATTGAAAAAAAAAATTTTTAATATTTTTCTAATTACTAATTACTCATCAGTAAGAGCTTTGGTGGCTCATAGTGGCTCATAGCGGCTCATAGTGGCTCATAATCATAGTCAATATAGTTGAAAAGAATAATAAAGACCTTGTAGAAAAGAAACTGGATCACCTAATTTTAATTTTATTTATCCACGAATTTTAAATACTTTTTACTTATTTTATAATTTTAATACATTTAGGTACATGTTGGTGATCCAAGAGAAATGTCTGAACGTGGTCAAATTATATCATCGAATAAAATTGGATTCTTTTCAGTTAATCCAATTTCGTATGTTATTGTACCAGGTGCAAAATCTATTGAACCAAAATATCGTAGATGTATTTTTGATAATGAAATTGATAATGTAACTTATTATACATTGCCGGATACAAGTTTTCGATATTCAAATTGTATGTTAGAATGTAAAAGAAGATTTTTATATGAAAAATGTGGTTGTGTTTATGGAGCATTTTGGCCAGTTGGTTTGTTTTTTTTTAATAGTTTATTTGAGAAGAATTTGTGAATATTAATTCTCAATCTCTAATTTTGTATAGGTAAATCGATTGAATGTAATTTTTCCCAAATAAAATGTATTGGAAAATATACTGGTAAGTTTATTTGAACTGTAAGATATTGAAGGTATTATTAAACAATAATTTTATTTTTTAGATCAAAGCTATACAGTTAGAACATTTAATAGCCAAAATAAAGAAATTAATGGAACAAGTGTTATATGTAATTGTACATTTACATGTACTTATGTACAATATGATTATGATGTTCGATTCTCTAACAGGTCAATTAAAATAAAATGGAATATTTTTAAAAATATTTGCTATGATTATAAAATTTTAGATCTTTTGGTCATATTTCATCGAATGGTACTGAAATTGCAGAAGTTGATATTTATTTTCATAATAAAGTAATGACAAAATATAATAATCATGTGTTGTGGACGTGGTTAGATCTATTTGGTAAGATTAATTTTGTTATTCTTGTACTCATCAAAATTTTTATTAGCCAACACTATTTACTGGCAACAAATTGATTAGAACCTTTAAATTATTATTGTTATTCATAATTTTATAATTCTTTACTATTTTATTTATTTAATTTTAGTTCATATTGGAGGTTTGGCATCACTCTTTCTTGGATGTTCATTTATGAGTGCTTTTGAATTTGTGTATTTTACAATTGTTGGAATTATAATCTGTTTGAAAATATGTTTTAATAGACAATTATCATAATTGGTTTCTATGAATGAGTCAAAAAAAATTGTGAAAATTTTTTTAGTGAAATCTTAAATTAATGAATATTACAGATATAATTGTATTATACTGGAACTAAAGGTCCAACAAGGATAGATCAGTATCACCGCTGTTGTACTCTTCTTAAAACAAAATTTTTAGAATCTATATGCACATATTATGTTATGTACTAATAAGAGAAAGGTTCATTAGTTGACTGCTAAAATATAAACAGGAATTTAATCATGAATTTTGAATTGCCAATCTTTGAATGCAACTAAATTAATTATTCCACTTCTTTTAAAATTCAATTTAAATTTTTCGATAATGAAAGGATTAAAAATCTTGCACTAAACAGCGTATTTTGTAAAATTGACTATTTTAAGAAATCGATTCAAAAACAAAATCATGCTCTTTTTACTGCTATAACATTTTAATGAGAATATCGCTACTGCTTTAACTTTACTGCTATAACATTTGAATGAGAATAATCAGATAATTTTTTTCAAATTCTTTCTCTATAATATTATTTAGAACAAAAGAGAATACTCTGACATTTATTGAGTTCTTCTGTTATTAAAATTTCGTTAGCAGTTAATGGAGTATACAACTACATTTACTCAAGATAATTTATCTGCGATGGTGTCCTTTAGAGGACTGATGAGCAAGTATTTGTTATGCTTGTAGATATAATATGATAATAAATTAGTCTTCTTTGAAAAACTTTTGACTCAAATGTGTTTAAAATAACTTTATAAATTTAAATTTTGTTTTCCTCTTTGATTTTTTTTTTTTTTAATTTTTTGTTTGTTTGAGTCCATTACAAGGGTCTTTAAACATACTAACAAACAGTCTCTTAAAATAGAAGGTTAAAATAGAATGAATTTTGAGAAAATTTGGAAAAAAAAAAAACAAAAAATAAATGAACTTATTTTTATTTTCTGAAAGTTTAAATTTTCTGATGAAAGATCCTTTTTTTTTTTGGCTGTTTATAACACTTTATGTAAGAAAAAAAGTTGATGTTCGGTATCCACGTGACGAAGGTAATAAATCTTTAGGTTGTCCTTTCTTATTTTCGTTGTTTTACTTTATTTTTCTTCTGCTTGTTGTGTATGTGTTTCGAAATGAGAAACATTTTTCAATATTATTGGAAAGCAGTGCCACATTAATTAAAAAAAATTATCAGATTGACAAATTAGTGCTTTTATAACATAGTAATTCGTATTGTCATTACATAAATTTCTCTTTCAAGTATTACCCACCATCTAAACTACAAAATCTGAAAAGGATCCGGTACTCAAAGCAAAAATCAATATTCTGCAATAAAGGTAATTGTACCTAAACCAGAACGCTTTTTTCGATTGCCTCTGTTTCTTCTCTTTACGACACTTTTTTCTTAATGGCTTGATTTTTTTTTGTTACCAACCAACCGCAGGGATTTTTTGCTACACCACTTTTCCAAAATCATTTTTCATTGTAACACTTCCTCTTCTTCTTCTTCCGGCGCCTGTCCAATTTGCGGATGTTACAGTGCACATGGCTCTGGCGACTACATCTTGATACACATTTCTATTTGTAATGCCTGTCCATTGCCTTATGTTTCTTAGCCATGTGTACGTCATATTCCTCTTTTGCCTTTAATGTATCTGCGCAATATAACAAGATTGACTATGTGTAATCTCTGCAACATGAATCTTTTCATGAATCTCTGCAACCAGACAATTTTTTATACTTTAGAAAATCATTTTTCACAATTTCAACCATTCACTCCAAAAATATCATCCCATTCTTCTTTGCAATCATTAATTTTTTGAAGATATCGTGAAAAAACTACTACGGTTACATTAATTACATTATAAATTGCATACTCGTATTATAAGAAACTAAAAGAAGTGAAACTTTTATAAGTCATTTATTCGAAAGCTGGTTATAAGCTTGGCTCTTTCAATTCATTTTCTTTTGAGCAACCGAAATCTTATTAATGACAAGAATATTTAAAAAAAAACAAAACGGTAATTGAAAGAATTTCCATCTCCATTCTTATTTTATAATTGAATTCCAGCGAAAAATAGGAAAAACGAGAAAAACTTCTGATCGGCAAAATTTCCAAAAAAAAAAAAAAATAACCAAAAAAATGCAAAAGGATACAAAAACCTTTTTAATTTTTTTTCCCCCTTGTATTTTGATTTTTAAATTTATTTTTTCCTTTTAAGAGACCCTTTATACCATTTTATGTATAAAATACTGTTATTCGCATGGTGGAATGTAATCCCATGCTTTTGTGTGAATCTAAACACAAGAACATTTTCATGTGGATACTCAATTATGCGTTATAATGCATATTATATTGTTTTACTCAAAAAATATTCTTCTCCCGTTACTCTTTCACTCCCCTCTCCCACAAAAAAAAAAAAAAAAATGTGTATATAAGTTTTGTGTATATACAGAACTGACATACTGAACAGAACACAAATATTATATAAGTTATGAGGTTAAAATGGAGACAGAGAGAAAACAAGAAGACAAAACGAAAAAAAAAAAATTTAGTGAACCAATTTTTGTTCTAAATTTATTGATGAGTGAATAACTTTAATAAGAAATTATTAAATTTTGTATACAGTTGGCTCTTAAGATTTAATATACCAAAATAAAAAACTATGTGTATATGAAAATGTAAATCTTATATTGAGTATATAAGGGTGTATATTATGATTAAATTTCTTGTAACATATTTCTCATTTTCTATATATTTATTATAATTATACTAAATATATACCATTCAAAATATATGGAGCTTATATACAATTAACTAACATTATGTATATTATTATTGCTATAAATGAAAATGTGTATAAATTCGTGTATAATTCAAATAAATAGGTACGTACACAAATATTTTTGCTTTAAATATATTATACAAAGTGTTTCGACAAAGTGTTTATCAAGAATTTTTCAAAAAAAAAAACTCAAACCTGTTATAACAGTTACATTATGAGTCTTAACTGTAATACAAGGTAAGAACCAAATCGAATATCACTAAATATTATAGTTACGTTTTAAAATCCTGCATAAGCTGTGGAAATCGGACTCTGCTCAGTGCAGATTTTGCGGGGGCAGTGATGAAACTGCCGTGCACATAGTTTGTAACTGCCCGGTACTGGCTGTCCGGCGGCACAATTGTTTTTGACAGGGTTTTTTAAGTGTTCGAGAACTGCTGTCCACCTTCCTTAGGGATGTCGCCGGTTTCATACTTGGAACGGAGATATTGTAGGAGGGGCGTGAGGAGGCTACAATAAGTCGCGGATGGCTGCGGTGGCCCGGACTATACTCTTGCCACACTCGCTTTAACCTTGCCACCTTAAAAAATCAACAATCTACAATCTATGGTTTAAAATTGCTGAACATGCTGAAATATACTAATTAATATAATGTAGTTTAGTTAAATTTATTTTAAAATTTAAAAGTTTTCAAGTTTCACTCAATAAAATCCACTCAAATCTCATATCAAATTGCAAAAATACCGTAATATTTTATTAATTACTATTTTATAATCAAGCCTATCAAACATTTTCGTCTCAATAACCGAAACAGAGATAAGATATACTATAAAAATAAATAAAGAGAAATAAATAAGGAGTACAAATATTTTGAGTGGAATTTAGAAATTTTTACACTCAATACAAATATGTCTGTCACAGGTGGTAGTAAATTTTTTTTAAAAATTCGGAATATTTTGCAATAAAAAAATTTGTAATCTTTATACATTTTAATAGTTACCCAAATTGTAACATTTTGTATTAAAAGATGTTATACTATACTGTTATACACATTACATATTATAATATATATACACATATATATTAAGATTCAATAGAATGGTTTGGTGAACGATTTTGAACGAAAAATTTTTGTTTTTTTTTTTTTTTCAAAAAAACTTACCTGATTTAATGGGGCATTATGACTAAATATTCGTAATTTCCAGAACATTAATTTTTTCATTAGAGGTGTGTATATCAATAATATATTATACATAAATATATATTTATGTTAAATTGTTTTATATTAAATGCATATACATAAAAATATAGTTATGATTGTATTGAAATAAAAAAAAATTTCGGTCGTTCTCTTTAATTTTTTGCATTTAATATTATAAAATAATATTTATGTGAATAATATTGTTATATTCCCAGCAAAAACTATATAAATGTTTCTTCTCTTATATCTAAAATATTTTAATAAACAAAAAACTTGATATTTTTCCTATTTAAATAATGAAAAAAAAAAAATATTATGATAAATTTAATTTGATATATGATTTTTTTTTTTATACTAAAATTCCTATTCATACATACTGTTATACAAGTTCAATACAGCCCTTGAATGTGCCCAAATATGAAATTTATAATATTTGTATACCAAATATATGAAAATTTATTACTTGATCCAATTTCAACGCGACAACACACATCAATTGTTAATCTGAAATGAAAATTAAAGAAAATGAAAATCATATATATTTTGTATAACAATATAGCATATATAATATTATACTTACATATATAAACACATATATGCATTTATCAATATTTATTTTATTTTTATATTAATTTATTAATGTGCTTATTATTGTTTTTCTCATTTTACCATTTTTAATTACTGTAACTCAGGATATTTTAACATCAGATTAAATCATAAAGTTTATATGAGTTATAATGTGTTGGTTACTGTTATAAATATACACACAAATATAACAAATAATATAACTTTAAGCTCTTGATGTCAGCAAAAAAAAATAATTAGGAATGAGAAAAAGAAAAAATTTTTTAACAAATTTCTGATTTGTTTGTCAGTCTTTTTCGCAAAAACTCAAATTTATTTGTCAAATCAAAAACTAAATTGTTAATTTAAATAAAGTCATGTTGTTGATTTTAATAAAAAAAAATTAATAATATAATTAATTTTTTTTTTGTTTCGCTTGCCTTTAAATTTTAAAAATC